TCTTGTTCCTCATAAACTCTTCTCCATCTCTGACCTCTGTTCCTTTCTGCTAGCGTGCCTGAAAACATTCTCCACAATCATTTCTGCCTACTGGCTTCCCTGGCTTCCTTCTAGACTCAGCTCAGAGCCCATTTCCTGCAGGAGGCATTTCCTGGTTCTCCCTACTGCCGGTGACTTTACCCTTTTCCGTTTACCCTGTCAATGTCTTACATATGCCTTTTTTGGGGGTCATGTTGTCCTCTGCATTAGAATGTGAGCTTCTTGTGTTTTTGCTTTTCTTTGTGTCCCCAGAAGTCAGCACAGTTCCTGGCACAATGTAAATGCTTAATAAATGTTTATTGACTGCCTGCCACCCGCATGGATAGCTGGTCTCTTCGTCCCAACAATCCCTTATTGCCTCCTCATTTCATATATATCCAAGGGTGTGCTGGGGAGTCAGGTTCATGAGAATCTATTGTTAAATTTTCAGTGTGAGCATGTACACTACTCATTCCAAAGCATTTATAGCATGCCTTAGGAAATGGCAAGGCTTGGTTTGTTCTTTTGCTGATTGCTAAGAAAGTAATGGGGAAAATGTTGAGTGCAAAATTAAATTCACAAGTGTGTTGTGAATACATTTTGTCCCTTAGAGAGCCAGTTATTAAACATTTACCAGCATATTCCTGTCCTGGGCCCACAGCCAGTTTTTTCCTCTAGACCTATGTTGACTATATGTGTATTACAGGAGTCTTTGCATTTCATGGGGATGTATGTCTAAGAATCAATCTCTCATGAAACCACCCAAGGGGAAGCTCTTACTACATACTTATTTTGTTGTTTTTGTTGCTGTTCAGTCATTTCAGTTGTGTCTGACTCTCTATGACCCCATTTGGGGTTTTCTTGGCAAAGATACTGGACTGGTTTTGCCATTTCCTTCTCCAGCTCATTTTACAGATGAGGAAACTGAGGCAAATGGGGTTAAGTGACTTGCCCAGGGTCACACAGCTAGTAAGTCTCTAAGGCCAGAAGTGAACTTAGGGAGATGAACCTTCTTGACCCCATGTTTGGCACTCTCTGCCCACACACTTGTTGCTGGTCCTTAAAAGAGAGATTGGAAGTTATTGGATATTCACTTAAAATTTTTCTCTGTCCATCTTAGAACCTGATAGCTCAAAGACCTGTAATTTGACCCCTTACTTACTGCATAAATCCCCATTCTAGTGGTGGGCTGAACTAAATAAGGCAAAATTAAATAGGAATAAAAAAATTCCTTCACTTAGTTTCATAAGATCATAGATTTGAGAGTGGAAGCCACCTTTGAGGTCATCTATTCCAACCTCTTAATTTCACAGAGGAAAATGAGGCCCAGAGAGGTTAAGGATAATTTGCCCAAGGTCACACAAATAGTGAGTAACAGAGGCAAAATGAGCAACAAACAACTTTTTAAAATTAACAAAAGACTCCAACAGCAACACCCCCGGCTACATGAGTACAAGAGTGGGGGGGGTAGTTAGAAAATAGTTTACTTAAAAATTACTGTGGTAGGGGGCAGCTAGGTGGTGCAATGGATAGAGCTCCAGCCTTGGAGTCAAGAGGACCTGAGTTCAAATCTGACCTCCGACACTTGACACTTACTAGCTGTGTGACCCTGGGCAAGTAACTTAACCCTGATTGCCTTACCAAAAAAGCAAAGCAAAAAAAAAAATACTATGGTGGGTTCTTTTGGGATGAAAGCTATAAGCTATTGTGATGCAATAGTTTGAAAATTAACTTCTATTTCTCCCTTACTCTAATGTCCCTATGATGTCATTGCTCTAGTCATTCATTTCAATGATACAGGTCACTCTCTTCTCGTACCTGCCTATGCTGTGTGAGTTTTGTCCACATTCTACCATATGTGAACCTATGATGGAGGGGGGGAGGGAGCATCGAAAGACTCATTGAAAGATTTAACAACATCGTTTGCTTTGTTCATCCACCTTCTGATTATTAGTAGCAAATGAGCAATAAACCAGGAGATGTATGCCCATTGAATGTGTTCACTACTTTAATGGAAGAGGTCCTGTGCAGGGTCCAAACCGAAAAGGTGAGTCTTCATGCAGAGGGTGAGATCCTCACGATGTCCCTGTTTGTAGAAGGCATTGTGCCAATTTCATTAAGCCCTGGAACTTCGGAGAGCCTCCTGAGTTGAGCTTAGATCACATTCATAGAAGGGAATAATACACAATGAGGGAGGTGGCCATCCCACTGATTTCTATCCTGTTCTGACAACATCTGGAAATCCACGTTTAGCTCTGGGTGTCACCTTTAAGAAGAGACATTAATGAGAGAACACATCCTGAAGATGGTGACCAGGATGATGAGAAGACTATAAACTCTGACATATGAGGAACTGAGAATGTCTAGCTTGGAAAAGAGGAATGGGATATGACAGCTATCTTCAATTATTTTAAAAGTTGCGTAAGACAGAGACTAGCTTTCGTCTTCTTGCCCTCAGAGGGTGGAATTAGGAATAATGGATGTAAATTAAACCTCTATGTTTAGACTTGATATTAAGAAAAAAAATCTCCAACAATTAATAGCATCTTGAAATGGGATAAATCTGCCATGGGAACAAGAGCTTAGCTAGGGGATGGAGTAGAAGCTTCTGAAGTTTCTTCCAACCTTCAAAGTCTATAATTAGTATTTTGGTCAACCAGATCCATCTCAGATTTAACTAGCAACAAACTAAAATGCCTTTTTTTTTAAAGCAAGCTGCTCCCTAGCTATGTCTCTGCCATTCTATATTTGTGGGGTTGTTTTCTTTTTTAAGCTAAGAATTTTATATGTAAACATATAAACACATAAAAATATCACATTTAATCTTATTAGCTTCATCCCATCCTTCTAGCCAGTTGAGTTCATTTTGAATCTTGATTCCCTCTAAGTCCCATGTGTCATCTAAAAACTTGATGAATATGTGTGCCATCCATGTCATCATCAAGGTCACTGATAAAAATGTTAAACAGATTAGAGTCAAGAATAACCTTGGGTCACTCCAGCAGAGATCTTCCTCCTAGTTGACATTTATCCATCAATGAATACTTCTAGTCTAATCAATCAACTGGGCAGCTAGGTGGCTCAGTGGATAGAGTACTGGGCCTGGAGTCAGGAAGACTCATTTTCCTAAGTTCAAATCTAGCCTCAGACACTTACTAGCTGTGTGACCCTAGGCAAGGCACCTAACTCTGTTTGCCTTAGTTTCCTCATCTGTAAAATGAGCTGGAGAAGGAAATGGCAAATCACTCCAATATCTTTGGGGTCATGAAGAGTCAGAGACAATTGAACAACAATCATTTAACCAGCTATGAATCCCTGTAATGTTTTGTTATCTAGCCCATATCTCTCCATCTGGCCAACAAATATATCATGAGAGACTTAGTAAAGAAATTTCTATAAGGATTGAAATTCAAGTACTGTAACTGTGCCCACATGATCTCCTGGTCCAGAACTCCTTCCAGAAAATGGAAGTGTAGCAGGAAACCCATAAAGGAGAGAGGTAACACAGACCAGAGCAGGGCAAATGCATCTCTTTTATAGTGGGGACTGCTACCATGGCAATCTCAATTAGGCAAAAGGCACAGACTCATAATTTTGGAATTGGAAGAGCTGTCAACATCCATCCAACCCACTCCAGCTTACCCAAAAAGTGCTCATTCTTGAAGACCTTCAATGACAGGCAACTTAGTACACCCCTTTCTACTTTTGGAGAATTCTAATTATGAGTAAGTTTTTCCTGGCGTCAAGTGAGCATTGATCTCTTTAAAACTTCCATACATAGTTGCTGGTTCAGTCCTACATGGCCAAACAAGACAAGTCCAATCCCTCTTCTATGCAATGGCCCTTCAGATACTTGAATATAACCATCATGCTTATCTTGTGTTTGTGCTTCTCCAGGCTTCACATTCCCAGATCTTTCAAATGGTTTTTACGTAGCATGGACTCTCAAGGTCCTTCACCAATCTGGTTGTTTTCCTATAGCCAGTTTATCATTTTACTTGAATTGTAACATTCAGAACTGAACATAATACTCTAGATGTGGTTTGACTAGGAGAGAGTGTGGCTGGACTGTTTCCTCTTTATTCAAACAGCCCAAGGTCATATTAGGCTTTTTAATTGCTCTATGTTGAGTTGAAGTTCACTAAAATCTCCCAGATCTTTTTCAGACCAACTGATATTTTCCCACGTTTCCCTCAGTTTGCATCAACAACATGCATTTCACAAGTGTTCTTTCTTTTTTTTATTACAAAATAAAATTCTGATACAAAATTATACCCTGCAATTCCCAGAGGAATTTTATAGCTCTTACAATTAAAATTGAGTTCTATTAGAACCAAAATTAGGTCATTCAAAATAAAAAACAGTCTGTGTCCTCCAAGAATGAAGCATGTAGAGGACGTGAATGGGGTACAATAAGGGGGAGCTGTGGTGTGATGGGATTTCAAGATAACTAGGGAAAAAAAACCCTAAAGTCCCTCTTGAGCATGAATCAGATCATTGGTAGAGTTGCCCAAGGCATTTGTCAGTTCCCCTTTCTGAAGGAGGAAAAAGAAGTCATGATGACAGCAGGTCCACGAGGCTGATGCATGGTGCTATGGAACTCATGCTGGACTTGGTGTCAGAGGCTCTGGGTTGAAATTCTTATTTTGCCATTTACTTACTCTGTGACTATGGGTAAATTAACTAAGCCTCTTGGATCATGGTTTTTTCTTCCATAAAATGAAGGGGCTGGATTAGATAACTCCTAAACTCTGTTCTAGCGCTGCTTCTAGAATCCTATAATCCTAGGTGAGGGGACCCAGAAAAAGGACAAAAATTTGACTGGTGAGAAAGTGGAATCCATTAGTCCTCAAAAAAGAATCTAAATATGTGTACATATATACATATATATATATATATATATGTATGTATATACACACACATATACATATATACATATATGTATATACACACATATACATATATACGTATACAGCCTATAATCTGTTTTTTAAAATACATAGGATGTCATCTTATGGATACAATTTAACTGATATAAACAATAAATAGTTTAAAAAATAAAAGATGTCTTCATTCTAAATAGTTCAAAGAGAAGTTTGATAAATAAATAGAGATGCTAGATGAGGTATTGAATGAAAGTAATAAATAGCCCAGTGGGTGAGGGGAAGAGGCATCCCTGGGGTTTCCAAAACCTGGCTCAGCTCACATGGAACCCTGGCATCTAAATGTGGAGGTGCCTCATTCTCTTCCAGTTTCTAACAGAGGCACCATCTCGGTTTTCCTGGTCTGAGGGATCTCTCAGTTTCTGATATGCGTCGTCAAGTATTCCTCCATGTAGCTGATGAATATATCAAAATCCCCCATTGCTTTGTAGACTCCTCGTTCCTGGAGCTGTACAAGGAGGAAAGAAATATTTGGTCAGAATCTAGACCTCTCATATTGTAGCAGGGCTAGCGAGGTCATGCAGTGGTTTAAGCATTGGACCTACAGTCAGCAAAGACTTGAATTCAGATCTGGAACTCAGACACTTCCCTGGGCAAGTCACTTAACTGCTGTCTGCCTCAGTTTATTTGTAAAATGGAGGTTATAATAACACCTGCTTCCAGGATTGTGGTCAGGATCAAATGGATGTAAAATGAGCACTTTGTAAACCTCAAAGCACCATATAAATATTATTATTATTATTATCTTTCAAGAGCACAACTAAAATCTCATTGATAGCGATTAGAGGGCTTCTCAAAGCACAGCAGCATGGCTATTTTGGTGACCTGTGGGACCACTCACTCTTTTATAATTTCCCTAGGAGGGGAGGGAATAGCTATAGCCCTTGTCTTTGCAAATCATATGCACTTGTCTGGTCTTCTCTGAGGGAAGTTTTTGTGCCCCCTTCATCTCATCTCTCGTGAAACTAGTTTGTGAGGGAAAGATTCATCTCTCTGGGACTCAGTTTCCTCTGTAAAATGAAAGAGTCATTTTAGTTCGTAGATACAGAGCTGAAAGGCACATCATAGTTCATCCAATCCAATCTTTATTTTACAGAGAAGAAATCTGAGGACCACAGACTTCCAGTGTCACAAAGCAGCGCATTAGAGAGGGCATCTGAGCTTTCTGAATCTCTATCTGTCTTTCTTTCCCATGCAGTAGGCTGTGTCTCCTTTCACCAACTTTAAATCATAGGATTTCTGGCAGCCGGATGAATTAATTATGAGCTGGGGCTTTCTTTGTCAGAGAGAAGGAGGTATCAGCCTCCCCTCACCTCTCAAACCATGACTGCAATGGCTAAGGTAAGTGTAGATGGTAGACAGAATGAACTCAGGGCTGAGGCAATGACTGCTGTGTGCCTGACTAAGCCCAGGGAGCCTGTGCCACTTTTCACGTCTGTTCCCTACACATGTGATGATTCTCTGTTCACAGCTAGGCTGTGAATGCTTCTGGAAGAAAGGAGCTATCTTGCACTGCCCCCACTGCTCAGTTATGAGATGTTCACCAGCTGGTACATCAACCAACCTTACAGACTTGTGAGTGCCTTGAGGAGTCATTTAGAAACCCTCAAAGACACTTCACAGAAAATAAAATGCAACCAAGACAGCAACTCCTATCTGACACCATTTGCTGAGTTCCCACACTTGCCTACGGAGGTAAAGGGACAGGGGGGACTGTTGGGCCAAGTGGGAAAATTGGGACAGTTTGGGAACGGCAGAGACAAATTCTCCGTTCAATGTCCCCTTCACCTCCCACTCAGCAGGACTCACCTTCTCATAGGTGCTCTTGACTTGCTTGACAACTCTGCTCCTATCTTCACAGGGCAGGAATCTGTGCTGTAAAGAGAGAAGCAAGGTCGGGTAAGCGAGGCCTTCCAGGGTGCTTTGTAATCTCAAAGGCTGGGGGTCAGGCCAGCTAGATAAAGGAAGGAGGCCCTCTCTTCCTGCTTCAGAGTGGGGCACTCAGGCAGCAATAGTCTGATTTCTTCATGTTCTGTGAACCTCTGAGCCTTGCACACCCACCACCTCATCCTTGCTTAGAAGGGGGTAAGGAATATTCACTTTTTTTTTTATAGAGGTAGATAATTTAGGCCCAAAAAGGGTGAAGTAATCACATGGGGAGTCTCAAGTCACATATAGGGAATCCTTGGCAAAACTGGGATTACAACTGAGATCTACTCTGGGTTTTACCCTCACAACAGAGCTGAGGGTAGGACCCTCTAACCACCACTGAGCATCATGTAAGACAGTAGAACCAGCCTTAAAATTTAGCCAGTGGCCAATACTGGACACAATCTGCAAAGCTCCATGTTCTGATTTCTCTGGATGAGTGTATGGAAATGAACAAGCAGAGGAAGTGTGCATGTGCTTTGGGGTGGGGGGGAGGGGATGCCTTTATAATTTCAGTCAGAAAAATAAGGAAGTTCAATATTTATCTATGGGCACAGAAACTCATTGAAAGGCCTAGTCTCGGGCTTTTCTGAAGTGAAGTGGGCCGGTTTCTCACCCCATACATTTCCACTTTGAGTTCTGCTCCAGAATAACTTAGAAATGATAAGTTACTAGTATCTCCACAGTTCAAAGGAACAATTAGGGTACTAACGGTCCTTGTCTGGGTTACTTTCCTAGGAGCTTGAGGGGCTCAGCCTCCCCAAGATCCTTCTTGCCCAGGGCCTCATCCAGAATGTTAAGAAGTCAGTCTGCCGGTGGAGCTCAGTGATTCCTAATTGTATATGGTGGTGGGGGAGTCCCAGGGGAAGGGCCTAAGGGAGGGGGAAGGAGAAGGGCAAGGGGGAGTTAATAAACCCACTAATGACTCAGAAATGACAGGAAAGCTTTTTGCAAATTGCCAATGCTATGTAAATGCTCAACTGCCTCCCTTCCCTTCCACCACCCCCAGTGAGAAACAAATAGCTGATCAGTCTCTCTGTATTGCTGTGTTTGTGTATGGATGTCTGCATGTGTGTATGGTTGTGACTCTTTCTGTGTCTGTCTCTCTGTGTGTAGTTGTGCAGGTAAGTCTGTGTGATTGAATGTCTTTCTGTGTCTATTGGTGCATATATGGTTGTGAGTCTATGCCTTTGTATGTGTGATTGTATGTCTCTTGGTGTCATTGTGTCTCTGTGTGCATTTGTGTGTTTATATATGTCTCTATGTGGTGGATGTGGTTATACGGTTGTATATCTGTATGTTGGTGTGTATATGGTTGAATATATGGAGGTCTCTGTGTGTATGTACTTGTGAGTTTCTCTGTGTGTCTCTGCATGTCTTTTTGTGTGGTGATGTGTTTGTGTGTCTTTCTGCACGCATGTGGTTATGTATTTTTGCACACATGAATATGTATATGTATATGGTTGTGTGTATTTCTACATACGTATGTATGTGTGTGTGTGTGTGTAGCGCCAAGAGGACTGTGCCATATATCCTCTCCTACTCACACAGCGTTTGAGCCTCAATCTCAGTGCCTTCAGCTTCTCGCCTAAAGAGCCCACGTTCTCTTTGATGTCCACTTCATTCTTCTCTGCCTGAGGCATCACTTCCTCCAGGTAAAACTGAATCATCTCTGACAAGGCCTGGCAGCCCAGGTAACTCTGTGAGGATGCAAAGTCAGAGAGGGTTGTGAGGGAAGGGTAAAGGAAAAGGGATGCTAGATGAACTCTGATTTGAAATCTCTCCCCCTAAGGTGTCCTGTGGAGATGCTGAAAGACCCACTCCCAGCCACTATTCCAGCTTTTAGCAGGGACTGTGGCCTCCCTTGGTGGCTAGGCTGTGGGTGAAGGAGTCCTTTGCAGCTTCCCTTTTTTTTGGTACCAAGGAAGCAGGCAGACCTCCCTACAGTGAATGAGTAAATTCAAATCTGCTTTTTGAGCCCCAAGGTATATTACCCCAAACATTACCCCAAAGTCCTCACCTTTAATTCTTCCAGCAAAGATTTGTCTATCAATTTGGTTTCGAGCTTGTCTCTGGTTTGCTGTAAGAAGCAAAGAGTTAGAATGTGCCTGAAGTAACCATATGCCCTTGATACTGCTGTCTCTTGGGTCCCCCTTTTTATGTCTGTAGGTTGAAGATGTATTTCAAGGGTTGCTGCCTTGGAGGGCCCTGGCTTAACCAAATAGGAACTCTAAACAATTAGGTTTAGTAGAAGATCCCCTTGGAATGTTAGCTACTTGCGAGTAAGAATTGGTTCATTCTTTGTGTGTTTATTCCCAGAGCCTGGCACACACGCAGTAAGCACTAAATAAATTGATTGATTGATCCAGCATGGCTGGATCCACAAATTAGACTAAGCCCCCTCCTCTTGCTGGCCCTCTCCCCACGCCGTATCCTATAGATTTCCAAGTTAAGATGAAGTCCTCTGCTGACTTTAGCAAAGCTGCCAGCTGCTCTGATTAAAAAGGCCACTCACATCACCCAAGCTGGTCTCCATGGTTCTATTCTTTTGCCTTCAATCTCCAGTGCTTTCTTTCCTCTTCTACTACGGACACCCAGCCCCAAGTGCTTAAGGATCCCAGGGAAGGGATGATATCAGTTGGCACAGGTTTTCTGAGCAAGTGCCATAGAATCACTGGATTCTATGAGAGCCAGAAGAGACCTCGGAGGTCACCTAATCCAACCTGTGCTTAAACATATCTAGTGATAGATGGCCCTCAGAGCCTACCAATCAATCCTTAGGACAAGGGGAGCTCTTAAAGGAGAACTTTGCAGCAGGTTGTGTTGTGAGAAACCCAGGTACTTCAGATCAGATAGGAAGAAACCCGGGGGGAAAACCCACCAAAACTAACAACTACAGCAACTACAAAAGCCGCTGTACTAGGAATCAAGAACTGGGTTGAAATCCCAGCTTAGCCATCACTGCAGCTGTGTCCTTGACCTTTCCAGACCTCAGTTTTCTCCCCTGTAAAATGGTAGGGTTGTGCTAATGAGCCTTAATGTCCCTTCCCAGGTCTAATAGTCTATGATTCTATAAATTTGTGAGATTGCCTTTTTGATGCACCTCAATAGATAAATTAGTGGGTGTGTTGCAAAGCTTGGAAATGTCTTAGAAATTATCTATCGCTTATCCATTCATGTATGTATGTATGTATGTATGTATGTATCTATCTATCTATCTATCTATCTATCTATCTATCTAGTGGTAGGGCTTTGCCCAGCTTATTGAACTGATGGTGAAGCATGGGCAGAAGGGTTAGCCACAAAAGGGTTAGCCCCAGTAGGGATCTCATCCAGGGCAGGGACTCACAAAAGGGAAAGGACAGGCAGGTGGGTGTACTTACAAAGTAGATCTTCACGTTGCTGAAGGCTGCTCGAAGTTCTCGGAGCATGTCAGGCAATGTGATGGAGAACGTGCTGCAGCTGTCCCCTGAGGCAGAACTGAGGTTGGAGCCAGTCAGGCAGAGCAAGCAGAACAGCAGCATCAAGGTAGACATGGTAGGGCTTTGGTGTGTCTCCTGGGGGCTGGCTGGTAGCTCTGTTTTGCAAGAGCAAGCCTTACTGGTACTGTCCTTCACTTTGCTGGTCTTCATTTATACTCAATGGGGACTATCCCTCATTCATAAAAACCACAAAACTCATATTTCCGGGCAAGAGATTTTCTAAGTACACCCCCTCCCTTTCCCTGCCCCACCCCCAACCATCCCCCACAGCCTCCGCTGAATTGGAGTAGAAGCTCTGATGCTCTGAGTTTATGTGAGTATGTATTTTTTTTTTTAAATTTCTGCATTGCAAGCATGTGGTCGATCTGTACACTTCTCCATTAGGGCTATTTTTAGGGCTTAGGTTGGAGAGGGGGAGATAAGCTCTGCTTTTTTTTTTTTTGACACTTCTGTACTGTACTACTTACATAATATGCAGCTTTTACCTCAAACGTTGCAGGCCTGAGACTGTCATAGAGAGAATGTTCCTTGCCTATGGTGACGTGGATGTGAGCCCATTTCAGGATGCTGTCTGTTGAGAAATTCTTTGTTGCATACTGTTTAAACAGTCAAGGCTTTGAACCTGCTTAATTTAGAGAGTAAACAGCTCCACTACTTGCCTCTATCAAGAGAAAGCCAGCTTCCCAATAGGACAAGTATAGGCATTCAAATTTGTGTATTAGTCATGCCTCAAACAAAAGGTTCTTTATCTTTTGATATGGACCTCTTTTCAGAAGAATACTTTTCCATGTGTAAAGAAGTAATTTTTTTTTTCCCATCCAAATTTTTGAACCCTCTGAAATCTGTCTAGAGACTCCTTCAGGGTCCATGAATCCTGTGCTAAGAGCTGCTCTTCCACAAGGCTGGAATCCCAATGCATTCTCTGCCCATTTTATGCCTCTGCTTCATTGAGTGTCTCCAGCTTGGAGGAGTTTTGAGTAGTACATCACTTACAGAATTGTACAGACCTAGGCTAGGTATCCTTCTACCTTCTGCAAGACCACACTTAACTTAGCTTGAGTGAGATGGGCTCCTTTTCTCTTCTTAAGCCTCAGTGAAATCAGGCCAGCAATCAACAAAACATTTGTTGAACATCTGGTATGTGTGAGGCACCACAATAATTAAGTACTGAAAAGAAAGACCCAACTGGATAGTTAGTTGAGAGATTCATATCTACTAAAGTTTTCTGGGACATGGGACATTGGACTTGGCTTTCTGTTCTAAAGGTTAAACATAAAAAGGGTTATATGACTATAAAAATTAGGGGGTTTGGCACAGTAGGTACAGGACTAGACCTGAGTTCAAATCCTGCCTCAGACACTAGCTATATGACCCCCAGGTAAGTCACTTAATTTTCCTGTGCCTTAGTTTTCTCATCTAGGATAATGAAAAAGGGAAGAATGATATCACCTACCTTATAGGGTTGTGATCAGCAAATGAGATAACGGAAACAAATTATTTTGCACATCTTAAAGCACTATACAATTGCTAGCTATTATTATTATTATTATTATTATAAGAATAAGTACTTACTAGAGATGATTATAGAAAGGAGCTGAATGGGAGTTACATAGAATCACCCCTTTGGTTCTAGAACAGAAATGATCTCTCCCATCTGTTCTGGGGAGTTTTCTCTCCCTGACTCAACCTTCACCTTGGCAACTAAATTTCCCTTGACTTCAGAGGGAATTCCACGCTGAATAGGAGTTACACAGGAGAACTATTTCAGGACAAAGAAGCAGAGTTGTACCAGGAATATTTGGGGAGAGAAAAGGGAGAGGAGAATAGTGACATGAATGATGCAGATGGAGAAGTCTATGACTCATGGTCATGTGGCATCCTTACTGCTCTGCTTGTCACCCCACCTCAGTCCTAGGCTTAGCCTGGTGGGTTAATGCCTTTCTTCTTTGATTAGCAGCAATTTATGCTACCTATGTCTTGTTTGTACATAGCTGTTTGCATGTTGTCTTCTCTATGAGTACTATGTTCCAGGCACTGTGCTAAGCACTCAGGATACAAAAAGAGGCAAAAGACTGTCTTTGCCTTTGGGAAGCTCACAATGTAATGGGGGAAGATGATAAGCAAATTAGTATTTAGCAACAAGCCAAATACAGGTCAAAAAGGAAATAAGAGAGAGAAGGCATTAGAATTAAAGGGTTGGGAAAAGCTTCCTGTAGAAGATGGGATTTTAGTTGGGACTGAAAGGGAAGGGAGAGCGTTCCAGGCATGGGAAATAGCAAGAAAAAATGCCAGGAGACTGGGAGCACCTTGAGAATGGGGACTTTTTGTTTTGTTTTTTTGCCTTTGTGTCCCCAGCATTGAGCACAGAGCCAGGCACACAGTAAATGCTTATTGACTTGTTGGTATAGAATTAGAGACAGGAAAAATGAATATTTCAAGGGCAGGAGGGCAGAAGAATGTCCTAGTGCTCCCTAGGATTGTCAGGATTTGAAGTCAATGGGAACATTTTGATCTCAATATTTTTCCCCTCCCTCTTCTTTCCTGGAGGGGAACCTCTCTATTCCAATGATCCTTCTCTGCCTTTCAGCCAAGGGTCTCTTCTGGAAAGAAGTGTGTTGTCTTGGGAGAAATAATGAATTGGTTTCAGTTCCTGGCTCTGTGATGAATAGCTATGTATTCCTGGGAAGTCATTTTGCCCACATGCTTCAAATTCCCCAGCTGCCAAAGTGGAATGCTGATACCTGCTCTAACTATTTTACTAGGCAGCTAGGTGGTACAGTGGATAGAGTGCATGGCATGGAGTCAGGAAGACCTGAGTTTGAATCCAGCTTCAGACACTAGCTGTGTCACCCTGGCCAAGTCACTTAACCCTGTTTGCTTCAGAAATGACAAACCAGTCTAATATCTTTGCCAAAAAAAAAAACCCAAATGGGATCATGACGAGTCAGACACAACTGAAATGACTGAACAACAAGTTATTTCTTAGTGTTATGGTGAAGATTGGTTGAAATAATGCATACGGAAGTATTCTACAAACATAAGAAGGGAAATTATTATAACTTTGTTTCCTTAGAGTTTTAAGATTTACCAAGTACTTTCCTTACTACAAACCTGTGATATGTGGCACGTGCATTACTATACCCATTTTATAGATGAGGAAACTGAAACTCTGGCTTAGTGCTTCTTGCCCAAGATCACACAATTAGTAGGTTTCAGAGTGGTGAGATATTGACTGACTGATTCATGGAGAAGACAATATGCAAAAAACCATGTACAGGGTTCTTGTACAACAAGATATAGGCAGGAGAAATTTCAGATAATCAGCAAAGAAAGGCCCTAGAATACCAGACCAAACCTAAGACTGTGGTGGTGTGGCAAACCTGGCTCCCCCTCATTCCAAGTTCAAAGTTTTCTCTACCATGCCATGCTCTCACACCAGCTGGATGATCTTGGCAAGTCATGTCAATTTTCTGGGTCCCAGTTTCCTCATCTGTAAAATGAGTGTTGGACTAAATAGCCTCTAAGTTTCCTTCCAGACTCTCAGGTATTATATCTGTTCTTATATTACAATTTGCACTCATTGGACCTATGTGGAGGGCACAGAACTGAGGCTTGAGTTCTAAGGATGATGAAGGATGTGTCGTTTTGCTAAAGCAACAGCAGCTAAGTTGAGGCATGGGCAGGAGGGGGGAAGGAGAGATGTAGGGCACTCCCACCTCTCAACTCTATGAATTTAGGTAAATTGCTGCAAAGACCAGCTTCAGGCCCAGTGGACTTCTGTCATTGCCCTTGGTGTTCTGGGAACCGAGAAGGAGTCAGACATCCAAATGCCTCTAGGAAATGGGGTGGGACAGATCTAGAAGCTACTCCCTGGCCAGATTTTGGATGCTGATATGGAATGTGAAAGAGGACTTAGTTATGCCAGCAGGGAGGGATAAGAAACTTGGACTTCCTCTGTTAGTTACTCTGCTTTTTTCAACTTGGGCCCACTGTTTATGCTGCTCTTGGGAATCTGTGGTTTAGATCAGGGGCAGATGTCCCTCTGAGGGCAAATGGAGTTTCTGCAGAAGTCATGTCCACTAAGATTGGCTCTTAGCCACATTGTGATGTGTGTTGGGCTTCTCTCCTTTCCTTTCCAGAATCACTTTTCTTTCTAGAAGGTCATGTGTTGTTCCTCTGCTGTCCCCATTCTTCTGAGGGAAACAGTTGGATAAGCTTAGTCACACTAACTTGAGATTTGAAAGAGGTCCACAGGGAAAGTGCCAGGTTGAACTCAAAAGACTTTAGTGGGATGCTGGAGATAGAGCCCAAGAATTGGAGTTAGAAGAACTTCGTTTAATCATTTATTCCCTGTATGACTTTGGTCAAGAAATTGAAAAACACTTGTTCGTCCTTCATTTCCAAAAAAGACCAATGATATCACAAATGAGTAATGCTCGGGCTCGTGCGCACATTGAATTTGTGAGGCAGAGTTGTGCAAATTGTCATCCTCTGTCTTTCCTCTAGAGTCACAAAAGTCCAGCAGGAAGACAAAAGTAGGATGACTGATGATGGCCTGGGATGCAGTGTATGACCTTGGCGCTAAACAAGGAGTGAAGACAGAAAACCTGGATTAAGCCCCAACAGCCATCAACTAGTTGTGTGACCTTAGCAAAGTTGCCTTCCTCCTCTGAGCCATTTGCCTTATCTTTAAAATTGAGCGGTTTGGGCTACAAGGTCTCCAAAGTCCATCTAGTTCTCAATCCCATTATGATGGAATGTAAAGAACCAGGTAATTGGGGGAGTTATTTTAGGGGACAAGGAGGGACTGACATCACATATACTAGCTATTGGTAAGGCTGAGCAGGATATCTGCTCAAAAAGCCAGTTTGTTAAGAGAGAGCTCTGGCATACTGGAAAGGGTACTGACCTTAGAGTCAGAGGACCTGAATTCAAATCCCACCTCTGACATTCAGAACCTGTACAACCATGGACAAGTCACCTCAGTTCCTTCATTTGTAAAATGAGAGGTTTGGACTACAGAACCTCTGAGGTCCTTTATTGCTCTAGACCAATGTTGTATGTGAATCCTCACAGGCTTTTGAACAGAAGATACAGCATGAAGTTGAAGGGCTGGCATTTGTTTCACACTTTACAAAGGGCGAAAGAACGCTCTCTGAAATTTTAACTAGGGTAGAACTCAGAATATAGTAT